AAATGCATGGGATGTGGATATTCAAACGCAGCATTAGTTCAGTGATTAGGAATTAGTGATTATTAATACCACTAACTCCATCTGTCCGGCAGTGATCGCAATATATTTTAGAACTGCGGTGGTTTCTATAGTTCGCGATGATAATATTGATCCAATTATTAACTCGAAAAGAGTTTTTAGTGTTTACAAAGAGATGGACATGTATAGCATTTTTTAATATATATTTTTTTGTTTTCGAAACAAAACTACAGGAAGAAATAAATTTAAAGGATATGAATGTATTTAAGAAATATGACAAATCATATTTTTCTACAAAAATATGCTAAAAAATAGATTTCATTTGAATTGAATTGAGGTTTTTTAATTATGTATTCATGTGAACATTATGTACAATTATTGTTTCATGTTTTTTTAAGGCTAACGTGTTACTAAATCAGAGAAAATATCAAGTATAGAAAGTTTAACTGAAAATTTTACAATAACAAAATATCGATTTTTTAGAAACTATTTGCCTAGTTTATCCAGTGAATATTTAATTTTTATTAATAAATTGAACGTTGATATTTCTTTGTTGTTATAATTTATATAAATAAAATAATTTTAATACAGTTAACATAGTAGGTACAAAATAGAGACCGAAAACTTTACAAAACTGTAGATCCATTTAAAATAAAAAAACACAAATCCCAAGAAGATCAAAAGAAAAATTCGAAAATGAGGTGTAAGAACCATAAATAAACAGAATATTACTAAAATGTTACAGTTGTTAAAGAATTAAAGAATATTATTATATTATCAAATATCGAATGAATCACAAAAGTTGTTAAATAACAGGGGGACCTAGATTGGAACCCTGGGTGAACTTACTGGTTGCAGTATAAATATTCAAAGCGAATACATTCAAATGAACATTTTGTTTGTTTTTATGCAAATATGATATAAAGAAGGGGAGGTATGTCGTTGACGCCAAGACAAGAAAGACTTTTAAGAAATATTTCATGACTAATTTTGTCAAAGGTCTTGGAGAAATCCGTATATATCTGTATCTACCTGACCTCTTCTATCTAACGATTCACACAAGTATTGACTAAATACTGCTAAGTTAGGTACTCATTGAGGATCTCGATTTAATGAATCCATGCTAATATCTAGATATAATATTTTTGAAGATAGATGGATACGGTTATATAGAACTGACTCCAAGATCTTTGCTGCATAATTGAGAATCGATATGGGCCTATGATTATTGTTGACATTAGGATCTTGAGACTTGTGTATGGGACAAACTTTAGCAACTTTCAAAGGGTCAGGAGAAGTTGAGGTTTTCAAAATTAAATTAAAAAGTTTTTTCAAAGGATAGACTAAAATTCTGATACAATCAACCAAAATTTATTTGTAGGCCTATTTCACACATACACATGTTTAAAAGGTAGGTAAAAATATTAATAATTCAAGTTTAAAAGCTAGATTCACAATGAATTAGGATTATAATTTTCTGGGAAAACACAATTTTTTTTTTAACCACTTTACTCAGGATAGGGATTGGCTCAGGTGCAATTTGGTAAAGTAAAATATTGTTACATGCCTTTGGAGCATATTTCATTTCGTTATCAGATGACGGTCGAAATTTGCAGTGGGCTCTCTTACTATAACCAATACAATATGATAACCGCCTATATTCAAATAGCAGTCTTCTACGCATCCTGAATTTGTATCCCTGGAGTGGATATTATTTTGGAACATCCAATTGGTCCAAGTTAGCTAACTGATTCTTTAGCTATAAACTGTGACCATACTAGATTTTATGCTTGAAGTTAGATACCTGGATCTCCCTTCGCTTTCTTTATTGTTAAAATGTAAAATGGATAAAACAAAAAGTTATTAGATTAATTACATCATGTTATTATATCAGGTGGCAGTTATGAAAATAATTCTGAATTTGTCAATTTGTTAAAAATTTGTATATTTTGATATTTCAAAATTTTTTATATTTATTCAACAAAATGTAGAAACGATTTAGTAATCAATCAAAAATTTTAATCCTAAACATAGTTTTCTATTTTAAGAGACAAATCTATTTGCAGGTCTCTTGGAAAGAGGTACAATCAAATGGCTGCAGATGCATTAAATATTTCGCAGAAAACTATCTATAGACTTAGTAAACCTTAAAGAAAATTTGAATTTCTGGGACATTTTTGTATAAGAGGCGTGTATTGAAAAATTTCTATCATTTTGACAGCTGACAGAAAATTTTCAATACGTGATTCTTATCCATAAATGTCCCTAAAATTCAAATTTTCATATTATCCAATATGGCGGCCGTTTTGACAGCTACCAGAAAATTGTCAATACACAATTATTATACAAAAATGTCCCAGAAATTTAAATTTACAATAGAAAAGAGGGTTAAGATTTAAGAGATGTTGAAGAATATCATAAAATAATAATAATTTATTGTTTATTTAAAACCTTTTCTGATGTCTATTATTTCCAGAATTACTGTTATTACAAAAATAAAGGTTTTTTCTTCTTATTATACAGCTGTCCATTTATTTCTTTGATTTAATTTCGATTTTGCTACTGAAAATTTATATAATTTACAGTTTTTTTTGCTAGTAAAATTTGCAACATAGCAACTCTGGTTGCTCATTTTATTGTTTTAACCTATTTTTTTAGTAAAAAGTAAAATGTATACGTGTATTTGATACGCCAAAATTACAAAATATCGCCCTAAAGTATTCGAATTATCCGCAGCTTGCGCTAGTATCGCTTTTACATCCCCTATAATGACTTCGCACTGATCGAATAGACCGCAGCCATGTTTTAACATGCCTTAGCGTGCTAAACGTTCTTTCAATTAACTCTGTCGTTGATGGAAGAGCCATAAATAATTTTTTTCTACGTTCATGCAAAAAACAAAACTTTATTGAACTATATTTAGTGAAAAAACTGGTTCTTTATTGCACTAGTGCAATAAAAATTTTATTGAACTCATCTGTCATTTTACTACAGCGTTTTATGATCATGACAAACATAAATATTCAAATATTTAGTCCATTTTCATTTTCTGTGAGATTGCATTACGTTTTAAAAACAGTTGCATATTTTATATTATTTTCAATCATTTAATAAATAAATGAATAAAAAATGTATTTTATTAAAAATGTCATTACAAATTATAAACACAAACGTTAATAAATGCCTCAAACAAAGGTACACGATCACGGCTACTATGATTTGGATAATACAACTGCAGTTCTATAAAACATTTTTTAGTTTTTGCATGAACGTAGAAAAAATATTGTATGGAACTTGTGCAAAAAGTGTTTATTGCGCACTTACTTTTTGCACTGGTTGCATAAATTAAACCACTTTGTATGTCTGGATAAAATTCACAATGTCTGAATGCTATATCATTTATGGAGAGAGCTCATTGTGTGCAGAGACATTTTTCCACTATTTTCATTTTCTAATCGGTAGTGAAAAAATATTTTTTTTTTATGTTTTTTTGATGTAACTGGCTTAAGGAAAAACTAACAGAGTCTTCGGAAAAGCGTGATGTAAGACGTAAGGGAATCTAGATATGCAATAAATATATTCAACCTATAATATTCTTCAACTATATTAGCCTGAATATTATTATTTCTATGAAATTGTTGTTCGTAATGCATATCTTATGCGTTGTTGATTAGGTCGTAAAAGCCAGGGGGGCAATTGCCCCCCCCTTGCCAACGAGGGCAAGTAGTGATCTGAATCAGAATCCAATTGTGAAGAAAATAATATTGATTAAGAAAATTTATATGAGTTATCCAATAAATATTTTCTGTGCCTCTTGTTATAATATATTTTTTTAACAAATAATGTTTCACGAATTTGCACCCGTTTTGGATTATCTTTAGAGGCTCCAAAAACGCTAAAAGCCAATGTTCAGCTGGGAAATGTATTTATAAAGTACGAAAGTAAATTGTTCTAATATTTGTAGACAAAATGTAAAACGTAATCTTAATTAATAATAATTAAAAATTTAAGGATGCTCTTCTACTAGAAACATATTTTTTTGGTTGATCTTAATAAAATACATACATAGTATTAAATCTTGTACGATGGTTCGGAACCCTTCATAGGCTGGTTTTATTTATTAAAACTTTTTATTTCTTCAGTGGAGATCGTCGAGCTCTCGTCCATATCGCCAATTCTTATTATTGCCCTAGTGGTGAAATTCCAATGAAAATTGACATTAAGAACGTTGCAAAAAAGTTAGTAGCTTCTGGTGTTGGAAAAATTCCATACATCGGATCAGATTTAGCTTTAAGATGTAAGGGAATCTAGATATGCAATAAATATATTCAACCTATAATATTCTTCAACTATATTAGCCTGAATATTATTATTTCTATGAAATTGTTGTTCGTAATGCATATCTTACGCGTTGTTGATTAGGTCGTAAAAGCCAGGGGGCAACTGCCCCCCTCGCCCCCCCAAACGACGCACATGAGGGCAAGTAGTGATCTGAATCAGAATCCAATTGAGAAGAAAATAATATTGATTAAGAAAATTTATATGAGTTATCCAATAAATATTTTCTGTGCCTCTTGTTATAATATATTTTTTTAACAAATAATGTTTCACGAATTTGCACCCGTTTTGGATTATCTTTAGAGGCTCCAAAAACGCTAAAAGCCAATGTTCAGCTGGGAAATGTATTTATAAAGTACGAAAGTAAATTGTTCTAATATTTGTAGACAAAATGTAAAACGTAATCTTAATTTTTTCATAGTGACTTCTTGTATTCCTGTTAACGCACCTTAATAAAGTTTACGCAACTGAAATAAGAAGAAATGTGTAAACTGTAACTAAATATGCGATACTCTTTTGCCAGAGGACTACAAAATAATATTTTTCTTTATGTTTCCAGAAACTACTTGATAATATTCCACAAATGGTTATAGTGGTTATAAAATAATGTTTTTTTATTTAAAAAAATAAAAACAGGATGTTTTCTCATGACTATATAAGACTTGTTTTTTTAAGCAGGTACAGTTTTGTGTTTTCAGCAGTTACCAGAACTTAAAAAGGTAATATACTTTTTACTTTAAACTATTCTAGTATATACAGGGTGGTTAATTAAGTGTAGCGACTGGTCATATCTTGAACTTGGGGAAAAATAGGTGTTAACTTTTTGGGTTTTATAAAGTTTCTTGATTAAACAATTGTAAAAATTTAGTCGAAATTAAATTGCTTTTTTTAATTATGTTTTTTTTTTCATTTTAATTCAATATAATTTAAAAAAAAAACAAAAACATTTGTCATTTAAAATATTTGGTCTTATCTATCGTCTTAATATTTGAAATTAAAAATTTCAACAACTTTCGTTAAACTTTTTTTTGTATTAACGTACTTATTTTAGTTTTGCGCTAAAATAGTGTTTTTATAATACGTACATTCGTTTTTCAGTATTTTATAGCAAATTTACGTATTTGGAACTATATTTAACCAGAATAGGTGATTTAAATAAAAATTGTACTATAAAGATAGTAGTTTCTAAGCTTGATAATTTTTATAAAAAAAAAAAACAATTATACGAGTATATATAATTTTCTTTTCTTAGGTAAATATGCCTAGATACAGTTTCCAGTGCTTTGAAATCGGTGCTAATACTAGCCGAGTCTGCTACGAGTATAATACTGGAATATGGCCTGAAACAAGACCAGATTATTTCTTCTTTAATATAGGAAAAACTGAAGTGTACTGCGAAAATATTTATGGCACATCTTTTGGCTGGATTGGAGCTATTACTGGACGCACATTACTACCTGGAGAATCAGTGACTCTATCAATGTTAGGAAAGTTATACTTGGTTACTGGACAGAAAGTTTATAATCGGTGAGTAATGGCCTATATTTAGTTTTATTAATTTTGATTTTGATTTTACTTTGTGTACAATAATTTTGAAAATACTAGCTTAGGTAACTGACAAAATAATTAAAAATTTAAGGATGCTCTTCTACTAGAAACATATTTTTTTGGTTGATCTTAATAAAGTACATAAATAGTATTAAATCTTGTACGATGCTTCGGAACCCTTCATAGGCTGGTTTTATTTATTAAAACTTTTTATTTCTTCAGTGGAGATCGTCGAGCTCTCGTCCATATCGCCAATTCAAATGGATATTCTTATTATTGCCCTAGTGATGAAATTCCAATGAAAATTGACATTAACAACGTTGCAAAAAAGTTAGTAGCTTTTGGTGTTGGAAAAATTCCATACATCGGATCAGATTTAGCTTTATTGATCAATATATTCTGGCCAGAAACTAAGAAGTCAGCTTGGAACGAGGTTAAGGAACAAGTAATTAATTTAGTGGACAGTAAAACAAAGGATGCAATTCGAGGAATACTTGGAGGTGATTTAAGGTGAGAAAATTATTGAATAAATATTTTGTCGGATTCAGGGAAAATAAAACACAAATTTTGTAGTAATTAAGTGTTTTTTAAATTAAAAAATTATTTAATTTTACTTTGCATTGAAATTTTTATTTTACATTGGAAAGTGATAAAAATGTTTTTAGTTTTGTTCAATACTCTTTGGTTACTGTAATTAAAAAAAATGTTAATAATCCGTATGTTAAAATAAAAAAACAGCTAATTTACTACAAAACCATTGAATTTAAGAATAGGGAATTCTTATTTAAAGTTTTAAAAAGTTACTTATTAGCAGTAAATTACAAAAAACTAAATTTATGGAGTGCCACAAAGTACTGTTTTGGAACCGGTTCTATTACCTAATACAAAGTGAGTCATGAAGAAACTTACATACTTCTACAATGTGAAAAATTCTTTGGAACATATAAGCATTATAACGTGTTAAAATTTACATGGATAACTAGATTTCTCAAATTTCTTAGTAAAATCATATACCGTTGTCTGGCATTTAATTCATATCTTCAAAAGTCAAAAATTCCAAAATAGGCTTAGTAAAAATTAATATCGATGATTCATTTAAACAAGTTCACCCTATATACGATTTTTTAAAATTATGGTATAGTAATCAAATTACATAGACAGACAATTAAAAATGTGTAGGTTTCAGTTTTTGTAATAATATACATTCGAACTAAAACAAGTCAAAAATAATTTATTCTAATTTGGAAGCTTAAAGTCAAAAATAATTTATTCTAATTTGGAAGCTTAAAGTATAGTTTTCAATAAATTTTGCTTTTTATTTTTATTTATGGTCATAACTTTATGTTTTCTTTCATTTTTAACACGCTTTCTATTATTATTGTGAAAAAAGCGTGGGGCGCTTTGTCCATATTTCTCGTACATCGAGCGCCCGACGCTTTTTTCACAATTATACTAGTATTTTCCATTTATTATTGTTTTAAGCTTATTTGAAAAAGTATTTTTATATTTTTTGTTTGATATGCTCTAAAAGCGTGTTTTTAGTTTTTTTAAACTATATTTGTTTTAAATAAATATATCTCAACTGGTAAGACCCGTGTAGGGGCAGAGATTGAACAACCTCTTTAAATATGGGAGCTTTGGGTCATCGAAAACTTTACACCCCATTTTCCGGCTTTAATACGAAAATCAAGAAAAAAGCTCGAACCCGTCGATTTTTAATTCGAGGGGGAACAACTTGTTTGGTTTTTTCATCCATGTAACTCAACCCTCTAACAAGGTGAAGCACAACCTACTGTTTTTGAACAGGGGTGAGGGGTGTTGCAATACCTCATTTTGAAGATCTTGTTACCATCTTTTTGATTTCTACGATGTAAATTGTACTTAAGAGGTGATTTAGCTCCAATTACTGATACTGCGTGAATTCATAAATTGACTAGGACAAATGAAATCAGAGTAGCTTGACCGGTTCGAAGATATTATAATAATTTAACGACAAAAAAATGTTGAGCGCCACCAAGTTTTTGAGTAACTTGGAAAATTTATATGATTTGATATGTCCTGTTTAATTGATTCAGTCTCTGGTATTTAAAGTTGCGTTCTGGCAAATAAAAGAAAGTGAGAAAATTTAATACATTTAATAAAAAAAGTAAAAAGAGTGAAATTTTACATATAATAAACTAATAATTAATCTGAATAGAAAATGAATTAAAATTAACTGATAGTTTATATGAATGAATAAAACTTATTTTAATGCATGGAAGTGAATGGTGGCCATTTCCAGCATTTAATAAACTAATCACAGAAGTAAGTAAGTATTCTTTTTGTTTATTAATAAGTAGACATTTTTTCTATATTATCTCTTTCACTGTTTTAGCTGTTATAGATAAAAATTTTGACGCGAAATTTTGGGGTCGGATAGTACTCGGTGAGATCTTCAAAATGAGGTATTGCAACACTTCTCATCCCTATTCAAAAATAGGGGGTTGTGCTTCCCCATGTTAGAGGGTTAAAGTTACATGAACCAAACCAGTTGTTCCCCCTCAAATCAAAAATCGACGGGTTCGAGCTTTTTCCCGATTTTCATTTTAAAGCCGGTAAATCGGGGTGTAAAGTTTTCGTTGGCCCACCCTGTATTTTCTACAAATACTTTATCACTAATTTCTATTTTTATGTATATATTATCGTACTTTCTAACTTACATAAATAAGTTAATGGTTCAAACCAATACATTTTTTTATAACCTCTGAATTTGTTTAAAAAAACTAGTTTGAAACTTATTTTACCGGTACATAATACATTTTTTTGGTACAAATATGTTTTAATATTAAAACTTCTCTATAAATAGGTACGGGAATACATATTAATTTGTATTTTTTATTTCAGATATATGAAAGAAAGAATTACAGTTCTAAAATTGAGACTGGATGATCCTAACTCGAAAGACACTAACAGGAACTATATTAACATAGCAGAAGATTTAATCGGATTTGAAAAAAAATTCAGTTTCGCAAAAGAAGACAACCCTGACTACATAAACATTAATTTCTTTTTAATCCCATTATATTCTGCCATTGTAAATTTGAAACTGTTTTTTTACCAGTTTGGTATTAAAAATCAAAGTAAAATCAAACTCACCAATGATGATATTTACAATGTAAAGTCGTATCTATCAAGATTAATTGAGGAAAAAACTGACGGTGCTATAGCTTATATCAACAAAGTTTTTGAAGATCAATTTAATTATGAATATGACCATTGTAATCCTGATGACATTTATAATGCTTTGGCCGTTGTGTATCAGTATTGCGCTATTGGTGGTACTGAATTTTTCAAATTCTGGAGAGAAATTGTAAAAGATCCCTTCTCTACTAAAAAACCATATATCTCAGTTATTTCCTACTCGACACATTTTTCCAGACCAACGCCTTATCTATCCAGACAAATTGTACCAGATGAGATCCAGCCTCCTCTACAACCCAAATTAGTTGATGGTAAACGAAACAGAATTAACAGGCTAGACGTGTGGATGTATAGAAATAACGAAGGAACTCCCAAAATTAAAGGAATCAGGATTTTTTATGAAAATGGAGAAAATAGTCAATCAGGAGAATGGGCTGAAAGTATGATTACTATTCACTTTCAAGGAAGTTATCTAAAAAGTTTAACCGCTTGGGGTAACGAATCTGTGAATGGGTTGGAATTCGAATTTCTGGATGGTAGAAAACAAACTTGCGGTACCAATTATAAATTGTCTGAGAAACTTCAAAAATTTGAATTGGAATATCATCACATTGCTGGGATATTAATCACCACTGATTCATACTTCTTGGCAGGCCAAGCTTGTAATATTGCAGTATCTTATCAGCTGACACCTGAATCATAATTTATTCGATTTTAAACTGAATTAAATAAAATATATTTGTTCTGCTTATATTTCTTTTATTATTTATTCCAACGAAAACTTGAGTGCTTTCAAATATTTTAAAATTTTAATTAGGAAGGTATGGTAATTACTAAATTTAGATAGATGAAGTTATTTGAAAATAAGTATAGAAAACCTACGTACGATGTTCTGAAGAAGTGCGAATCGTAGAGGACTAGTTTTATCATAACCTATAAAAATGCATGTGATTTTGTTAATTTCGTGCACACTGAAGTTGTGTTCATAGGCGTTTCAATTCAGGTAAGTAAAAAACCATTATATGGAGTTTAAAAAGATATTTTTTCTGTACGTTTTCGGTCTGTTGCCATTGCTTTAATGATAAGGAGTAACTAATATAAATTCATTTGTATGGTTGTTACGCTTTGAGGTTAAATGATTCCTTCATGTTGAGGCAAAATGACCCCAGGGACCATTTTACACTCGCTTAGCCGTCTAAATAAAGTTTTCATAATAGTCAAATGTATATCATCTTTTCAGAAATAATTGTTAAAACGTACATTCGGAAAACGACAAGACAAGGATGGGATCCGAATTCAATGCGGCTAACCTTTTAAAAGAGCTGCTAGGCTTTATAATCTGCCCTTGAGTACTTTAAAAAGACGGGCCAAAAATCAAAATAAATTGGTAAGTTTAACAAAATTATACTACTTTATTCCTAATCTTTCGCTATGTAGTTTTAAAATGTACCTAAGAAGGAAAAGGTCGGCTAATCATCGTACTTTTTTTCAGACCAAAGGTTATACAAAAAGCCTTGGTAGATTCACTACAACATTGCTCAAAGAATTGGAAACTTACTTAAAGGAGTATGTTTTAGAAATTGAAGATCGACTGTTCGGCATGATGAAAAAAAAAAATTTGCCAAATGGCCTACGAGCTTGCGGAGAGGAATAGTATTAGCCATGGGTTCTCTAAAGGGGAAAAGTCAGCTGGAACAGCTTGGCTTAGAGATTTTCTAAAGAGACACCCAGAGATTTCTTTTAGAACTCCTAATGCCACCTCAGCTGCCAAAGTATTTTTCTCTTTTGGGTGAAATTACAAGTAAAAATAACATTACTCCAATAAGAAATAGATGAGTCAGGTATTCAGACGGTCCCTAGTAAGCTGCCCAAAATTTTAGCACATAAAGAGCGAAATCAGGTTCGTTTCCTAACAAGTGTTGAGAGGGGACAAAATGTTAGCATTGTTCTATGTGTAAACGCTACTGGTCAATTTATTCCTCCGACAATAATATTCCCCCGCAGAAGAAGGATGAATTATTTCAAGGTGTTCCATAAGGAACACTTTGTCTTTACAATTAATCTGTGTACATGAAATCTGACACCTTAATTATGTTCTTGAAGCATTTTGAACAACATACCTAGTGTTCAGTTGAAAATAAGGTCCTTTTGTTGCTTGATGGACATTCAAGCCACAAGTCTGTCCAAGCTATAGAATATTGTAGACAAAATGACATTATAATGCTGTCGTTTCCTCCATACTGCACACATGAGATGCAGCCTTTGGAAGTGGCAGTATTTTCACCTCTAATGGCATATTTTAATAAAGAAGTTATTTTATGACTTAAAACAAACCCTGGAAAATGGTAAAGCTGTATAACATTGATAGCTTGTTTAGGAACCGTATAGAAGAGCTGCCACACTTAACAACGGACTCAGTGGATTTGAGAAAACAGGAATATGTCCCTCATCAGAAAATAAAACTTTATGCACTGCAGCGTCAAACCTGGAAGTTGTTGCTTTAAATCATAAAGTTGATAGTATATAAGCCTTGCAGTCGGTACTTTAAACCCAAATTCCAAAGGTAACACTTTCAAACTGAAAGTTGGCTGTACAAGGCATAAAATTCCATCTTCGTAACCCATTTGATATGTCTTCACTATCTTAGGCACCTCCTCAGACAAGGATTTCAAGACCTTCTCAATGAGCATCTGTTTTTACCTCCACACCAAACTATCTTTTCAGTAAAAGAAAAAATAAAGACACCCAGGTCAACTTCACAAGCAGCTAGAAAAGCCATAAGCCGAAAGGCAAGTTTTGATGAAAACGACGCCGCTTGTATATTTTGCTTGGAATTATTCAGTAAAGGAGGTTTGGATTATGTGCAATTATCACATCATTGTGCGCGGGTGTTACAGGAAAGCAGAAAGTGCATATTTGCGATTTTTGCAAATAAAATTTATCTTTTTTACTTTTGCTCGACAAAAAAAATATAGGGGTAATTTTTCCCCATGAGGAGGGTCTTTTTACCCTGAGCATGGTTTAAAATGGTCCCTATAGAGCTTCTTAAGAATTAAATTATTTTTATGTTGTTTTTATCATTAGGAATCATGTTTTCAGAGAACTATGTATGTTCTTTTTATTGTTTGATTAAACTGTACTTAAATATTCCGTTGTTTTGGTATATTTAGCCTAAAAAATTGTTAAAGTGGCCATTTTTCCCTACTCTCCTATTACATTACATTTAAAGCGTTTATTTTGGGAGAAATATAGATTGCAACGTTGTCGATTTCATAACACAAATCGGCAGCTTTATTTTTTTATTTATAAATGGATCATGTAACATACGTTCCACAGATTTACATATTTGACTATTTGACTTATTTGTTCGTACCTTTCTTCTAGTTTTGACAATATTACAAAGTAAAAATTAATTTAAAAGCATAAAAATATAACCACTGAAGATGACTGCCGCAGTTGCAGCTGAAACGTTTGGTAATAATAACCAAGGAAGACTACGGCATGTAAGCCTACATTCTTACACTATTTTATGTTTTTGGCTCCGAATAGTTTTCTTAACAATTTTAAAACCTTTCTTTGCTCTTTTGGGAGGCTTCATATCATCAGCAGATCTTTGAGTTTAATTTTTTTAAACTGGAAATTAGTAGATTAAATTGCCAACAAAAAAAATTACACTGTCTTTATCTTAAACTTAAAAAAATAGAAATTTCGATTACCTTTTAATTCTTTAGATCCTGTTGCCACTTGTTGAATTCCTAACTTTTGGAACCAAAGATGACAAAGATGTGATGTTAAAATAAAATCACTGGTTTGAATTTTCTTTATTTATGTCAATAAGTAATTAACCTTACGAACTTTAGCTGGGTTTTATTTAATTTCACTTTTTCGACAAGAAATAAGAAAGGTGACATAATATTATGTTAATTGCAAATTAAAAGTGACTACCTAATGTATCACCATTGATAATTAGGTTATGTTTGTACTTTCTTATGATATAACCTAAAAGAAGCCTTTTCAAAAGGTATTTTACACATAAAGCATGTTTTCATCATATTATTAGAGAAAATAAATCTTAAATATACATTTACAACCCTTAAAACGCTATAAATAATTATATTTTTCGTAAAATACAAAACAAAAATTGACATGGGGCTGTTAAACATGGCAAATGTGATGGAATAAGCCAATTAAAAGCGAGGGAATTCCCCCCTCGGGGGGAATAAATGTTGATTACGAAATTTAGCGCGGCAAAGAGGAGAAGATTCTCTCTAGAGAAGTATTTGCAGAGATCCTGGTAGTAAGCCGACTAATTGTAATATAAAATTATTATGATTGGGTATAACTGTATTTTAATTTTATAGAAAAAAATAACAACCTGGCGCAAGTTCACTACATCACCGGAATCTCAATGAATGGCGGAGGAACTTTGTTGAATCAGTTTCGCGCCAGATCCCAAAACGTCGAGACCTCGTGCGTCAGTTTTCAAATTACACGCTTTTCAATACGCAAACGAGGAATTTTCCAAAATAAATTTTCAAAAAGATATAATAGTTATAAAAATTAAAAAAACTGAATAACTGATGATTGTGATTAAAAAATAAAACATTTGTTGATATTGTTTGTAGTGTTGAGTTTATAACTGCAAACTAATTTAAAACTTTTTTGAAAATCGAAATGAAAATTTTGGCTGTTAAATATCAGTGCGCTACGGATTATGTATCTGTGATTTAAATGGATTGTTAAGGTTGTTATGTGAGAAAAAAAACTTTTACTAAAGTAGTGTAGTTGAAAATACATTAATTAGTTTTTGGTATAACTGGAAAAAATGCAGGTTAGTTTAAAAATGATTATTATACAATGGACATAATTGTGTATGCTAATGTAAGTTTAAAAAAGAAAAAAAAAAATAATACAACATAGGTTATATAAAATATTAAGTATACATTTTTATTTTATTTATGTCAAAAGTGTAAATAAAGAAAAATCAGATTTATTGAATATATGACTAAAATTCTTGTCAATATTATTTACACATAGTAGTCTGTAAAGAGTAAAATAGGTTTACTTTCAAGAAACAAAAATTTAATAAAAATGGAGATTTAAGGGGGGTTGAAATATTTAAAAATATATCTTAACTCGAAAATTGATATTTTTAAAAAATTAAGCTCTATAAGGGGATGAAGGCTAATAATTTTGAAAAAAATTAAATAAAATTGGGGGTTGAGTGGGTTGCAATTTAAAAAAAAATCATATATTAAAAACAAAAAGCGATATCAACTTGAAATTTTTCGAAAAAATCAAACTCTATAAGGGGATTAAAACTATTGAAAAAAATGGGGGTTTAAGGGGGTTGAAAGTTAAAAAATTATAAATTAAAAACGCAAAGCAATATCAACACGATTTTTGTAAAAATCAAGCTTTATAAGGGGATGAAGCCTATTAATTCTGACAAAATTTGGTTAAAAATAGGGAGTTAAGGAGTGTTGAAATATTAAGAAAAAAATAATAACAAAAATGGTTTCTACTTTAAATTTTTAGTAAAAATATCAAGCTTTTTAAAGCAATGAAGTTATTGACACATTGTATAATAAATTACGACGTGCTCTACGATGCATTGTTGGTACAGACATGTGTCTCAAAAAAAATTATATACATGAGAGAACTACTCATATGTATCGAACTTTTTGGGATGCAAAAAAAAGT